AATAATAATAATAATAATGTTCTCTGTCTATATTACAATATATTTGGTTATCATTTTGTTATATTCAAATGTACTATCTCAATGCCTGACTAAAGTTGAGTCTAGGCCATATATACAGGTAATCTTTTATCATAGTAGCAATGGTTTACACACAGCATGGCTGAAAAGCTACAGCTTCAAGTGATGGTGGTGAAAGTGCCAGTATTTTCTTAAAGAGACCACACAACAGCAAGTCAGTCATATTTATAAAAGGTCTTTTTATTTATGAAAACGTACAAAAATAATTATTGAAGAGAAAATTATAAGACTTTCATTGCGGATATTCGTTTTTCTACTACAGAAAACAACAGCAATACACTAGGGAACAATACTGCAGTAATAAAAGTGCTTGTACAGCATACACTTTACGTTTTTGATTTCTGACCATCAGTGTATCAATTATTAATTTGGCTGATCCTCTTCCTGCCCAGCAGTGAGGATACACAACTCTCTTTAAAAAACACAAACATCTCAACTCAAATTCTGTTTTGTGAATTCATTATATAGTGTAATTACAGTCTGCTGAGTGCAGCGACTTGAAAAGGGACACTAACACAAGTGAAAATACTTAAACTGTAATGCTCATGAGGATAGAAATTAATCTATGTTTCTTCAGACATTAATGGATATTTAGAATTGGACTATACACAACAAGTAAAGATGACATTTAGATTCAGTGACACATTGTTGGTATTGTGTTACATAATCTGAGAGTGAAGATAATATTTGATTAACATTTGCAGCAGAAATACTGGTAGTATGACAAATACACAAAATAAAGTAAAATAAAATGGAACAAAAACCACCAGACAGATAAATACAGGTTAATTGAGCATTACTTTAAGGTTATACAGTAATTAAAAAATAATAAAGTCATAGCAATTTGTGCTGCACCTTTGAAACTAACAAACAGAACCACCATCTTGCTTTACAGGATCAGAGACACGGCCCAATCTCTGGCTATGTTCTTCCACCCTGTTACAAGTTTGTTTAGTATTGTACACTGTTAAATATGTTTTTCTCTTCTCTTCTCTCTTGGGTTCATTTGATGCCCAATCACACACAGCCAGCCTCAAACATTTTGACCAGGTCTTTGCAGTCTGGATCGATGAGGTCTGCAGGCTTTTCTCCACTTTCGTTCTCTGCCTCTGTGCTCGCTCCCATCGCCAGCAGATATCTGAGTGAAGAATGAAGCAGAGCATTGTTAAACAGAAGTTCCCAGATATAAAGAAAATATGGCCTAGTTTAACGTTACTGGTCCTTTTTTCATTTTTTAACTGTCTCAGCTCAGAGACCTCAGAATAAGGGGAACTATCAAAATTCAGTGGTATTAGTTCATGTGTATGTATTATGGATCAGTTCATTTCTCCTCATAGATATAATTCAACACAAAACATCCCTCCTCATGATATTCTGATATTGTACATTTTTTCTTATCCAGTGTTTTCCCTCTTTTAATCCCTGGGCTTATTTACTGCTGAATACCATGTTTTGTGTTGTAATGGTTGAATTATGTCACCATTTCATGTTTCATTGTTTAGAGCCAAGCTCTGAAGTCTTTGTAAGGTCATTAGTTAACGTACTTACTCTTTGAGGGAGATTTGGAGCTTTAATATTTCATAAAAATGTGCAAAATTGCATTTTCACATTAGTGTGGTTTCACTTGCCTCTACTTGTTCTATAGTAAAATTAAATATTGTTTTACTAGTTTGTGTGCTTTAAAAGCAAGCAGGATCAGTCAAGACTAAAAGGTTAAGAAGTCATGTGTCACCTGGCAATTTCTGGGTAGCCGTCACTGCAGGCCATGTGAAGTGGTGTCCAGCCATCTTCGTCTCTCTGATGAACATCGGCGCCATATTTCACTAGCAACTTCACCACCTCCAGGTTTCCTGTGAGCACAGCTTCATGTAGTGCTGCCATACCTGCACACAAGACTACATCAGTCCTCAGCACTGCTACACACAGCCATGCAATCAATTCAAGTCAGTGAGTGACATCTAAACAGTTTTTCTTATTTCACATCAGATTTTAAAGTCTAAAGTTATGAATCCCTGTTCAAGCTGTGGAGACTTACCTGAGTGGAAGAGAGTATCCACACGAACCTTCCTCGCCCTCATGAACCGACCGATTTGCTCCATATCTCCTCGTCTTACAATATCCTGGAAGATGATGTCATTGGGGAAGTGCACAGTCCTCTTTGCAGGTGTGACAGGTATTACAGGTGCAGGACGTTCCTGTGCTTGTGTGCGCTGTGTTGAACTGTACCGTGAGCCTTTGCTGTACGAAGGGACGTATGTTGAAGCAGCCTTGTAAGTGGTCGTGTAATTTGACGGGGTGTAAAGTGCCGAGCTGTACTGTGTCGGGGTGTACTTCGCTGTAGAGGCATATGTGGATGTGTAGTGCGTTGGTGTGTAATGTGAGGGGGTGTGATAGGTAGGTGTGTGGTATGTTGGGGTGTACTGTGAACTGCGTGTGTACGTTGACACTGGTATATGGTAGTTGTACTTCATCCCTGCGGTGGATCTGCCTCCCCCTATGCTGTCAGCCCAGGAGGAGAGAAGTGAGAAATCCAAGAGAAAGCACCAATCCAATAGAAGAGCAGTATCCTTCACCGTGTGTCCTTTTTCCACTCTCCTTGCTTGCTTATTATCCTTTTAGTTTCCAGCTGGAGTATCTTCTGCTGTTACAGTATAATACAAACACTTCTCAAGTCCTTCACTTCACTATGTGCCAGTCTCCTTTAAGTTTGTAAGGTCCTCTTTTTGCTGCCTGCTGTGAATCTCTCGAGTCTGAATTTCAAATAATTTTTCACACAGTGTGTTTGCTGTTGCACAGAACCGTTGTCTGGTGGGGCAAATGGGAGAGGACCCCTATATACCCTCTGTAGGGCTATTTTAGGGCCTAATATCCAGTGACTTCAGCTTAGAAATGAGTGGCCCTTGTCCGGCTCCTCCCACTGTGGGGTCACATGCCCACTGACACTGCACACACCCCTAGATCATAAAAAATGTTGACAACCAAAATGTTCTTGCTTGAGACATACCTCTTCCCACATAAACATCTAAACAACTATGACTATTATCAGAGTTAGATATTCCCAGAACCGGGAGACTATACCTCAGATGTATAGGAGGCTTAAGGCACAGTTATTTCCCTATTTTTGGGCTGTTACAAGCAATTATATGCGTCAGTTTTCTGTGAATCACATTGTTTTGTTGCTATTAATGAGAGAGATGTATTGCAGGACAAATAAACAACAGCTACCAGTAATAGCACATGATTTCATTCTGGCATGTGTTGTTGATTTGTTTGCTTGCATCACACCTGATATATGATATAATGTAAAGTTAGACCTGACACATTAGAAATTGATTTCAAAAACACATCTATTACATAGTCTTTACTTTTAGAAGAAACAGGAGAGCTTTAAGTAATGTCTCGAGTGTTTTTGCTCCGTTCATCCACGTTCTTTCTCGTGTTCCCCGTTGACCTGTCATATGTCATGTGACACTTGCCCTTTGCATCATAACCAGATACACCAATAAAAGTCGCCCACTGAGGAGGTTGTGTGTGAGAGTGTAGTCGACCAGTTGAGGGGGCAAGGCCACTAAAATGTAACCTCTCCCCTCAAATGCCACTGAAAAGTCACATGGTTGCCAGAAAGGCGGCTATTTACGACACTGAACCCCACTCACATGCGCTGCAATATGTGCAGAAAAATGACAACTTCATATCTATCAGAAATCATATCGACCCTGTTGATCTCCAAAGAATAATCGAAAGAATAATAATTTTATCTCTGAATGATGCTGTAACATTGCGCTGGTGGCACCAGCTGTCCCCAGACAGACTTCTAAGATGGTCAGAGCTGGCTATAACTGGTTCCCAAAACCTTTGGAAGAGGACTTGGGCATTTCACAGATGCTGCCAATGTAACAGAGGAAATAGCGTAGCTGCCATCCTCAGGTTTTTTTTTCTCACCACAACTCCAACCACTTAAGGTTTGACCTTGCTCCAGAACTTGATCTCCTCTCAAATTCGCAGCTATTCTAACGCTTTACTGCATACTTTTTTTCATATAATTCATCACTTTAAGGGCACCTGCTCACCAGCTTCACCTTCATAACAAACACAAAAGATGTTTGCAACATCAGGCATTGTTTAGGGTTGTTTTATAGTATATTTTCCGAGGAGGGAGCTTATATGACTCAGATTATCCCTGCAGGAAATGTTAATTAATTTCTTTTCATGGTAAGAGTTGACCTCAGCTCTGAATGCCAAAGCAATTTATTATTCATCACCTCCCTGCACTACTGGTCTCTAAACAGTGGGGACAGGGGAAAGAGGCTTAGAGCTAATG